ATAGTACTATTATTGTCCCTTTCACAATGGGCTTGTATGTTGGTTAAGTGTGTTTAGGTTTGAAAACTAGCTTATTTCTTCCACGAAAGTCACCCACATCTTTATAGAAATCACTATAGGCTTTTCTAGATGGATTTACTCTAGGTTTGCTTGATCAACACCTTTTGAGAGTTTTTTTTATCCAATTAATTTCATATTTCTACTACCACATGTTTAGAGATTTTGTGGACAATTTCAAACAAAGTGTGATTAAAATCATTAATCACATCATCTATTTTTTTTCTTTATTCTAGACTTCTAATGGTTATTGATATCCATCAAGATTTGATTGAAATCCATGTGAACTTGTCTCTCCAAAGTTGCAAGGTATCCAAGTCATGTTTTATTCCTGTTACAACATTTTCTCTTTCTCTTTGACGTTGGATTCTATCAAAGTGTGTATGGTCTTGTAGGTGGCTAACATTAACTCGTTTCCAATGGTTTTTTATCGGCTTTATTTTTAATTTATGCTTATACTCTATCTCGTTGTTAAAGTTTGATATTCAATTCTATTAATTTGTAAGGTTTTTTAAATCTTGTTCTAAGTGATTGTCTTTCTTCAACTACAAAAAAAATAGAAATCAACTACCTCTTCCGGCCTAGTTGACTCTAACCTTTCTTCTTGTATAAATGTTGTTATTGGAGGAGGATGACTTTTGTTGTCTTCATCTTAAATTGATGGGATTCATTATTATTATTATTATTATTATTTTAATGCCATCTAGAATTATACTTCCATAGTAGTGGCTAGAAAAAAACTATTTGTGTTTTTTTATACCGGCCTTAACTAAAAGAATTTTATAGTAAAAGAGTAAAAAAGATAGTTAGATAACGATCCGTAATGCAGTCTATCTTTCATACTCATAGGTAAATGAACCAAATTAATTATGATACATACACTACTACTAGTTCTAATGGTGTTTTTAATGTTTGATCTTAGAAACAAACTAAATTAAATAGATTACGATCGATCTAAAAATCCTTAACAAGGCTTCACAACCTATCCAAGTTCGGTTGGGCTATATAATTACAAGGATAATAGTTCGTAAGAATAGTTAATTTAAACTAAGAACTCAATTCTCTATACTAATATACAATTAAAATAACAAATCTACATTGAAAACTCGAAAGATTAAATGATCAAAAGACTAATAAAGAAAGGTTGCAATATTGATGGTTACCTAGAGATTACAAAGTTAAAGCCTTCAAAAGTACTTTAAGAGTAATAATACTTCAATCTAAAAAGAGAGAACTTACATTCATAGAGAATGGTGAACATTTATAGATTGACACTCTATAAATAACCTTTTTTAAAAGAACTATAGATCATGATTGTTGCAAACACGAGATGAGAATTAAGAACCAACAACCAGACCTATAAGTTATGAGTCTACTTGATTACCGCCTACGAAGTATTATTTATTGAAGTAGCGAGAACTTATAAGAAAGAAATAAATACCGTTGATTTGAAATTCGGACGTCGGTCTACTACAACCAATTGAATTGCGCATAAATATTATGAAATAGGCTTCAATTCCGTTGATTCAAATATTGCTAGAAATTGGGATAAACTTGAGATACTATCTCATGAATTTTTATTAATCAAAGAAAGCTGCATTTTTTAGCCTCCAAGTCATACATAAGTAGAAAATTTCAGCCAAAACCCTAAACCAATTAAAAAAGGAAACAAATACAAAAAACCCAACAATAAGAAAAAATTCTAAAAATGGTAAAAATCAATTTTGAAGGTCTAAACAAGTATTTTTTTTTTGTTAAAATCACTCCTACATCATGAGCATAGCCCATGGTTCTCGCTCGTTGGCCCGTTTAACATTGAATTAGGCCTAAAAAAATCTCGAATTAGGCCAATAGTTTTTTTTTCAACTTTTGTCTGCTCTCATACCGTTCCATAAATTCCAAAATCCGTAGGTTCACATCATTTATAAATTATTATTTGCAAATTGCTGCCTACTAGCTATAGCCTAATAAGTTTCAAGTGTGCTGAAACTTGAAAAAGTGTTCACTGATTGTAATTTGCAAGAGTTTTGTTTGTGTATTGTATTATTGTGCGTTTTAACCTTTTATTGTAAGTGATATTTATAGGTTTTTTATTCTTCCTTGATCTCTTGTAATGGACAATTTCTTTTACTCTTTATCACGTCTTTGTATGACTCGATGTTCCTTTTTTGTGTTTTTTTTTCTTGGATTGTAATGCATCTCTGTTCTACCATTGTTTTTTATTGCAATCTCTATCATTTCTTCTAATTGTCTAAATTTTTGCTTTTACTAGAGCTACAATTCTATTATTCTTTTACAAACTATTAGCTAATTGATGATCGTACTACTGAATAGACTTATTTCTTCACGTTTTCTTTCATAGAATTTTTATTTTTTTTATTTTTTTATATCTTCTAAGCATACAAATGATTTAATACCTAAACTAAGTGCAGTTAAGTAGAAGAGTTTGAATAACTGTACTTTACATGGATATCTGTTGCTGTACAACCAAGACTGAGTATCTTTCAGAGGTTTCCATGGAAGCGACCAGGCTTCCAATAACACCAAGCTCTGGGTATTCATTCATATCATCAAGACCTGTTGTTTGTGGTGTTTCCACACCTTTCCTTCTCCCAACTATAAAGAGGTCGTATTTATTTAGGATTGATCGGATTTTCTTTGAAGTTTCCAGTCCATCACTTACCGTCTCCTCAATGTATTCCACTTCATGATTTATATAGCCAGGCTTAAAATTCCTCAACATCTCAGAATCTTGTATTTTTTCCCAGTCAGTTTTAATCTCAACAGTTGAGAGAACGAAACGGATTATCGTTAGGCTAATGTTTCTGTGCTGAGACATGCGTTTAGCCAACACCAGAGCTTCTCGATCATCGTTCCCTCCGAAGAATATCAAAGCAACAAGTAGGGATTGCTCTCTTGAGAATTCCGTGAAAAAGGGGTTTGCTTGATTGCCATGGTCAATGAGGATACCCACAGAGCATGGTGCTCTCTCAAGGACACAACGATTCAGTGTCCTAAAGCTAGAGTCCTGCGATTCGATAGACCCATCAGCAAGCCATTTTAGATGAAATGGAAGCACTATGAACGATGCAAGTTCATCCAATGCAAGTGTGCATATGTCCTCGTGCATGTATTTGGGTGGAGAGATTGCTGTGAAGACATTTACAGATACTATCTCGCAATTGTTTCGCCAGAAGTGATTGAAACAGAGAATGACATTCTCAGAAAAGGAGCCGGAGGAGAGAGTTTTCTTCTGCTTTTGGTGGGAAATGAAGAGCGAGGAGGCTCGCCCACTGATCTTGATAAGGTGAAGTGCACAAACAGAAACAGGGCTCTCTACTGTCGGACATAAGAATTTGAGAAAATTGATGATGCTGGTTACATTATCTGGTCTGTAAATGCATGCAAGTATACAAAGCTCTTTGCTATGCATAATGTTCCTTTTCTGATAGCCTGCATACTTCCTTGATGGATCATACAGCCAGTTCACGACGATAGGCGAGATGGTTGCTGACAATAGAATGGTAACGACCAAAAATGCGAACATCCCCTCAGTCAATATCTGTTTTTGGTCACGAATAAGAAGAAAATGAGAGAATAATAGTGCAGAATTAACAATGGACATGCTACAACTAATTGGTTAAGAATTATGCTATAAAACTCAATGCCTATAATATAGAAGGTTGATTAAATACCCTTGATTCTGACATAAACGTATATAAACCAAGCTCAATGACCCCTTTGGAGCTTATTATCGAAGCAAGTGCAAAGGCATCCAGTTTCGGCATTCTGTAATACAAGAGAGTTACCAAGCAAGCTCCAAATTTGGTCAAGCTGACCACAGTGACGATGATTCCTGTGCTCTTCATTAAATTTCGGTCAAAATTGATCTCCCTGAAATCTGCTCTCATCGTGCACATGACAGTAAAGACAGGAACGAGTACACCTGAGACTATACATTCGAGCTTCTCGACCAGAGCTGAGGCAAGAGGAGGTCCTGCTGGTACAGCCAATCCAAAAGCAAGTGACCCAAGGAACAAATTTAGGCCAATAAACTTAAATATTAGACCAGAAACCAATGCGCCTAGAATGATGAAGTTAATATATACATCTGTGACGGGCCTGCCTTTGGGTGTTTGTTTGATCACCCATAGCATCGCCGGTCTCACCACGAATACAGTTACAGTAATAAACACCGTGCATATTGCTACGCTTTTAAAAGCTCCTTGAGATTGATGCTTGTAGGCAATGGCTGCAAGTAAGGCACCTAGCGCAACAAATTGGGTCAGTAATTCACTGCTTAATGCTGCACTTAGTCCCAATCTGCCAAGCTCTGAATGGGTTAGCTTGAGTTCGCTGAGAAAGCTACAGGTGACAGGAAATGGATTCATAGAATGCACTGACATCACCAAGTGGAGTGAAAGCGTATCTACTTTGGCTAGCCCCCAGTGATTGTTGATAATGGACGTGGTTACCACACCAACGAGAAAAGGCATCACCATAGATAGAACACCACTGCAAAGTGCCATTCTTCCCGTCTTTCTTATCAGGCTTAAATCCATTTTAACTGCATGTAGAAACGCAAAGAGTTGGAAACCCAATCCACCTAATGTGCCAACTATTTGTTTACTGTCAATTGTAAACATGATGCTTTTGTAATCTGCTTGCAATCCGAGGCCTGTCGTACCTAGGATAATTCCAGTCTGATGCAAGAATCAGTTATATTATATTAAAAATTTCAGCATAGAATTTTGAGTTGCTCAATTATACAATATATAATAATCATACTATTATAGCACAAGATAAATAACACACAATGATTTAATAAAGAAATTCATGCACTATAAGATTGAAAGAAAAGAAATGGGTTGGCATTATAGCTAGCTAGGGTAAAAAAAGCAAAAAGAAACAAGATCAGAAAAGAAACAAGAAATAATTATAAGATGATCAGAAGAATGAAGAAAAGCACGTACAAGAATCTGAGAAACCAAGAAAGGGATACTGAAGCGCTTAAGAATGGTATGAAAAACGTGGCTGATGAAGAAAATCGCAAACATAAGGAGCTCCAGCCTCGGCAATGGAGCCTCCAATTGGTTACTATCATCCTTGAAAAGACCATGTGAATTAATAAATGGTGGTATGGTTGTACATTGTTTCATCTGTGTGATATTCAATTCTATTCCATCCAAACGAGGAGCCATTTTGCTGCTGATCGATGATGGGGGCAAGGCAGGGGAGAAAGAGAGGGAGAAACAAGAAACACGAGAACAAATAACATGTGTTCGTTTCTCCTGGAACAACTTCCTGTCATGTTTTTTACTCAACAAGTTTCATGGCTTAACTCGAGTCTTTTTTTTTTCCCCCTTAAATAGGGTAATTTTTTAATCTTTTTTTTTTCAAAATAAAACACTTTAAATCTTATTTATATATAAAAAATTCCCCAAATTAAGATACTCTAAAATCTTATTTGAAAAAACGAGACACTTTAAATCTTATTTACTAAATTAAGATTTTTTTGTGGTCATGACAGCTCAATTATCCATGTTATTTTATGTTGAATTATTTTTAAAAAAAGTTTTGATAGTCAATAAACATAAAAACTCTAATTAAAACAATGCTACACAACCTTTTACTTATGTGCCTTTAATTTTTCTCTAAAAAATCTTTCCAAACAGCTAACAAAATAAACATCATCATTATATATATATATTTGTCCTAAACTCTCACTACAAAATCAATTCCTCTTTCTAACTAACAAGATAAAATAAGATAAACGCAGTCGTTAAATAGTTTTTTGTTCCAATGCATGGCTCTTTTCTCCTTCTCTTTCTCTTTTTCTCTCTCTCTCCATGGTGATTGTGGCTAGCTAGGGAGGGGAGAAGGACGGGGAGAGATAAGAAACATAAGAACAAATAACCGGTGTTTGTTTTTTTCAGAGTTTTTTTTTATTTTTTTATTTTTCATCTTTTGCGAGAGAGATTTTTTACTTTTTTTTTTTTTTCATTTTTCATCCTTCAATTTTGTTACTCATTTTTTCTTTCATTTTGTTACTTTTTTTTTTTTGACACTTTTCATCGGATGAGAGAGAGAGAGAGAGAGAATTTTGAATATTTTTTGTTTAATTTTTTTTCCTTTGACTTTGTTTCTCTTTCAAAAAAAAAAAAAATGTATAATTTTTTTTGTTTTATTAATTTTTTGATATTTTGAATTTTATTTATTTGACTTTTTTCATTGGATCTGAGAGATGTTTTTAAATTTTATTTATTTATTTTTCATCCTTTAATTTTTTTCTCTTTAAAAAATAAAAATTATAATTATAATTTTGGTTTTTGTTTCATTTTATTATTTGTTGACATTTTTCATTGAATGTGAGAGTGAGTTTTTTTTTTTTTTCATTTTTTTCATATTTAATTTTTTTCTCTTTCAATAATCATATTTATAATATTTGTTTTTCTTTTTTTTAATTAAATTTTCTGTTTTTTCAATTATTTTTGCCATGTGTAAATTTTGTACGACCTGTCAATTCACTTGTCAGTTGTTATTGAAATATTGATCAGAATTCTATCAAAAGGCATCACATTAAAAAAGTATATATATAAAAAAAGACTAGATGAAAAATGAAATACCAAATATGCTGTTAATCGATTCAATAAAATGCAATACATTAAACATGCATGACCATAGTAGATGGATGCCATCAGCTTAATTAGGGCATTTTTATTTTATTTTATTTTTTTCCCAATATCATCACATACACATGACATATGGTATAATTCCATCATCACGTGCATATTTATGTTCCGTATAGCATCATCACTTGCTGCAGCAATCATCGGTACTCCAGTATTTTCATGGCCTATTAACATCTCAGAAAAATGAGGACTCCTCATAGACTCTTAACTAAAGTACCCAATTCTATCGAAACTTTTAGCCCTCCTCTAGTTTCCCGCTACTAGCTGCTCCTTTGGACCTTTCAAATTCACTTCCACATTTCTTTGAAACAATATATAGTAAATAAAAATTAATATAAAATATATTATAAATTATTAACTATTAAATCCTTGTTATTTAAACTTTTTTTTTTTTTTAATGTTAATCTATACTTTGCGTTGATGTTTATTTTAAAGAAAAAAAGTCAATGTTATATCATTTTGGATTAGTGTTATTGTCATTACATTTTTAAAAACTATGCTTTTTATATTGATTAATTATCAATTATTAAATATCCATTATTATTAAAAAAAATGACGACTAATTATTGTTTTTTGTAAGGCTACATGGGAATTATTATTTTTCACAACAATGATTAATTTTTCTATAATACTTTTTCTTACATAAAAATCATAGAAAAAAAATATATTTTTTGAGAAGCTAAAAAAAATAGTCATTAATTATTTGGGAAAAAGTGATATTGAGAAAATAATAAATAAAAAAAATCAAAGAAAAGAAAAGGTGGGTTATTGCGTGCTCCAGCCCGCACACATGGGCCTAGCTAGGCTTCTGGAGTGGGGGCCCAAGAGCTGCAATTTTATTTAAAAGAGAGAGAGAGAGAGTGAGAGTAGACGATGTGTCGTTGCAAGGAAAGATATGTCGTCCATCCTAGCATTGTAGGCGGTGGTGTTATAACTTTTGACGCAATCGTCTATAATTTTTTGTGACACTTTGATAACCATTTTCTCACCAGAAAATCTCAAAGCCTCTATTTTTTTCTCTTTCACACTCAATTTCTACACCATTTCCACCTAAAAACACTTTAGAATCATTCTAATAATATGAAAATCCATTTTAAACCTTCAAACATGTCCTAATCCATATTAGATCCCAAAAAAATCAAACCCCTCTCGCTCCCGCCTTTTTTCTTTTCCTCCTACATTCAAGGACATACCTCTGAAACAAATGAAGCTGAGAAACCATGCTGCACAAACCTGAAAAATCAAGGACTACAGTGAAATCATTTTGAAAAATTTGGTGATTGCCACAGACATTACCATCAAGAAGAAGCAAAAGGATCATCTAGCTAGTTTTTGCTAGTGCAGACAAAAATTATGATAAAGATCCGTCTCTTCAATCCAAGGTAATTTGTTAGATTTTATAAAAAGAAAAAAGTAGTGACTTTTGCTTGTAATTAAACTTTTTATAGCTTCTTTAGCTTTCATGAGTGCCCATGATTGCAAGTAAAACTGCATTTGTAGTCTTGAATTGCAATGCCAAAACACATCTTATGTCAGAGGTACTCTGTATTGTTTTTTCATCCCTTTGTTATAGCTCAGCATCGTGTTATTACATTATAAGGAGACTATTGTGTTTTCTCCCATGTCTTTGTCTATCAAATTGTTGCTTTTATCCCAATCATTTACCACTAATCTACTCTCCTTATGATATTATTGCCGAGAGAGAGGCTGAACATTTTATGATTTGAATTAATATTATAGGACTAAAAGAAAAAAAAAAAAAAAGAAATTTTCTAATACTTCTGGTTCTTATAGTTCAAAAATGGCATTACTTTGGTCTTAAACAGCAACCAAGCTTTCATCTGTTTATGACCAAAGCAAGGTAATTTTGGAAGTGCAAGCATCAGAAATAGCTAAAAGTTAGGTTCTGTATTTTCTAGAGAGAATAATAGCTATTTTTTTCCACAACAAAATAAGAAATAGTTGATCATTGATATAGTTAATGACTATGATAGCTAAGAATGCAGATGATGTTTTAATATTCAAACTAACGTCAACTACAGAAAAATCGTAAATGACTATCCCATATACCTTACTACAGTCTACAAGGCTACCTGTTGCTGTACAACCAAGACTGAATATCTTTCAGTTGTATCCATTGATGCGAGCAGGCTTCCAATAACACCAAGCTCTGGGTAGTCAATCATATCGTCAAGACCTGCTGTTTGTGGTGTTACCATATATTTCCGTCTTCCAACGATAAAGAGGTCAAATTTAGCTAGCAAGGATCGGATTTTCCTTGAAGTTTCTAGTCCATCGCTTACCCTCTCTTCCATGTAATTCATTTCTGGATGCTCTACGTAGTCATCCATAATATATTTCAACGCCTCAATGTCAAGCACGTTATTGCAGTCAGTTTCGACCTCATCAGTTGAGGGAATGAATCGAACTATTGTTATGCCAATGTTCCTTTGCTGAGACATGCGTTTAGCCAACAGCAGTGCTTCTTGATCATCGTTGCCTCCTGAGAATATCACAGCAACATGAAGGGATGGCCCTCTTGATGATTCCCTGAAAATGGACTTTACTTGATTCCCACGGTCAATGAGGATCCCCACAGAACACGGTGCTCTCTCAAGGACACAACAATTCAGGGTCCTTAGAGTAGAGTCCACCGATTCAATAGATCCATCAACAAGCCATTTTTGATGAAACGGAAGCACTACAAAACATGCAAGTTCATCCAATGCGAGTGTGCATATGTCCTCGTGCATGAATTTGGGTGGAGAGATTGCCGTGAAGACATCTACAGAAACTACATCGGGATTGTTTTCCTGGAAGTGCTTAAAAGAGAGAATGACATTCCCGGAGATGGAGCGCCGAGAGACCGTTTTTTTCTGCATTTGGTGGGAAATGAAGATCGGGGAGGCTCGGCCACTGATCTTGATGAGGTGAAGTACACGAACAGAAACTGGGCTATCTTTAGTTGGACACAAGGATTTGAGAAAATTGATGATGCTGGTTATGTTATCTGGCCTGTAAATGCATGTTAGTATGCAGAGCTCTTTGCTGTGCATAATGTTTCTTTTCTGATAGCCTGCATACTTCCTCTTCGGATCATACAGCCAGTTCATAACGATTGATGAGATAGTTGCTGACAATAGAATTATAATTATCAAGAAAGCAAACATCCCGTCCGTTAGAATCTGCCCTTGGAAACAAAATTGCAGAGTTAGACATCAGTGATGCTAAAAAAATAAGAAGCTAATAATCAACTAACAATTCAGAACAATTTAATATAGGTAGAGTTGATCAACATACCCCTAGTTCTTTCATATACGTAAATGAGCCAAGCTCAACGATCCCTTTGGTACTTATTAGGAAAGCAAGTGACAAGGCATCCTGTTTTGGCAACTTGAAATACAAGAGTGGTACCAAGTAAGAAACAAATTTGGTCAAGATGACTACAAAGACGACGATTGCGGTGCTCTTCAGTAAATAGTCACCAAAATCGATCTTTAAGAAATCTGCTCCCATCGTGCACATGGCCATAAAGAGAGGTACAAGTACACCTGTGACTATGCATTCAAGTTTCTCGACTACAGCTGATGCAAGTGGAGGACCTGCTGGTACAGCTAATCCGAAAACAAGTGATCCAAGGAACACGTTTAGACCAAAATAATCAAATAACGCACCAGATACAAAGGCACCCAAGATGATGATGTCGGTGTATACACCTTTGACAGGTCTGCCTTTGGGTGTTTGTTTGATCACCCAGAACATTGCCGGCCTCACTACATATAAAACTAGAATCAAAAAGGCTATACAAATTGCAATGGCTTTGACGGCTTCTGGAGCTCGCTGCTTGTAGGCAATGCCTAGAAAGAAAGCAGATAGTGCTACACACTGGGACAGCATTTCACTGGTTAGAGCTGAAGACAGTCCCATTCTACCAAGTTCAGAATGCGTTAGTTTAAGATCACCAATGAAGTTACAGACGACAGGAAATGGAGTCATAGATTGCACTAACATCACCAAGTAGAGGGAGAGCTTATCTATTTTCTTTAGACTCCAGTACTTGCTGGCTATCTTAGCGGTTACCCCACCAATTAGTACAGGCATCACCATCGATAGTATACCACTGTAGATTGCCATTTTCCCTGTTTTCCTTACCAAGGATAAATCCATTTTAATTCCATTTAGAAATCCTAAGAGTTGGAAACCAATTCCAGCTAACGTGCCAAGTATTTGTTTACTATCAATTGTAAAAAAGACTCTTGCGTAATCTGCATCCCGTCCGAGGACTGTTGTCCCAATGATCACTCCAGCCTAAAACACAAATCAATCACAACATTCCAGTAAATAATTGCAATGAGCTGCTCAATCATACAGCCTGCATATTGGGAGATCTAAACGTTTAACATTCAGAAGGCTGCTAATAAAACTTTCTGATCATGCCAAGATTGTGTTAAATTTGCAAGGCAGCAAAAGGAAAATCATAGCATATATATGAAGAACAAATCTGCATGATCTGAAAGCATGGAAATCTCACGTGTACGTTATAATTAATTCCCTATGTAAGGCGTAGCCAATTGGCCACCCCGTGGTATTTTATCTCAAAATAAAAATAGAGAAAAGAGGCATATGAAAGAAATCAATAACAATGAAGAATGAACACGTACAAGAATCTGTGAAACCAAGATATGGATGCCCCAACGCTTCAGAATGAAATGAAAACCATGGCTGATGAGAAAAATTGCGAACATATGCAGTTCCAATATCGGCAATGAAGCCTTCAATGAATCTTCATCTTGCAAAAAACCATTTGAATTCACGTATGGTGGTAAGCTTGTGCATTTTTGAATCCTTGTTTTATTTAAATGTATTCCACCCATCGAATTATTCGAAGAAACATCCATTTGGCCACCGATATGTGGCCGGGGCCGGACAGAGGAGAGGAAGGAAGTGAAAGAGGAAATATGGAAACAAAGAAGAGGTATGTTGGGGTCATTTTTTCTAATGTTAGGATTCAAGACTTGATGAGTTGCGCTGTATTTTCTACTGTTAACAACAGCCAAAAAAAAACAAAAAACAAACAAACCACCTCTTCAACAACTAATAGCTTCTTATTGATTTCAATAATGCGACGCATAAAATTGCATGAAGTTAGGGCCTGATTCTATATATGGAATATGATCATGTCTATTATCTACGTTGTATACACTGGAAAGACAGCGACAATGTCTAACAAGTTGGAAGAAAATCCTTGGCAACATTTCAAGAAGTTAAGCCTCAGCACAGTACGAGGCTCAAGCTCTTTGTCAAGCAGGTGATAAAAGCCCACTCATAAGCTTTTTATGGGGCTTCCTTGCAATAGATTTCAAAGGACTTAATTAGTAGATAAACCCAATAATTCTCTAGAGTGTTGTAATTCTGCTGCCTGCAGGAGACGTAAAAAATTACAGGAGGCGTGACAAGCTGTTCATAACCACATATAGTTGTCAAACTCAACCCCTCGAGACTTGACCCAGTTAAGGATTAGGATTATTGGATCAACCCACACGTTATTATTTTCTTCTTCTTACTGAAAGAGTTAAGTTAACCAAAAAGTCTAATTAACTTGCCGGCCTAGGCTGGAATGGATAAGTATGATAACAAGAGATACGTAAGAAATTATCATGCTAACAAGTTCTTTCAAGGGCAGAATGGAAAGAATGAGGTTATGATTCGTAAAGTGGATATAGAGCAGTCAAGTTGAGTTTTAGATATATACAAAAGAGGATCGCATCGAAAAAGAACAACAGTCATCAACTACATCATCAAATCAAGGGATGGAGTACTTAGCGTTTTATCATCCTTGAAAAAATCTTTAAATTAAACATGTCAAATTGTAATTACTTGATGAATTAATTGATTTTGATGCAATTTTATGATTTTGATTTTTGATATGTATATACTATGGATATTTTTTTTAATAGTATTTTTACAGATTTAATGGTCAAAATAAAATACTAATAAATTACCATATAAGGTAATTGGAAAGTGTAAGTTATGATAATTAGAGTTTTGTACTCATAACCATCTATAAAAACGTACACCAGCTTTGTTAAAACATTTGATTTACCCTTGAATTTTCTTTAATGATCCCAAAACAGTACAACAATACCACCTTTTTTTAAAAAAAAAAAAAAACCATTTATGCATATCAACTTGGGATTAATAAGAAATGAATTAATATGGCTACAACATTAACCTTTTAAGTCAACTTGGGATTAATAAAGAAACCTTAACATAAGTACTTCTTTCAATGTAAGGGAGAGAGTCTGAAAGATCCTTTTTTTTTTTTCAAATTTTCATGCGTTCTACACATGACTAACATAACATAAAATTCAGGACAATTTTGAAATTAAATCGTATATATGTTTGATTGATTCAGTTAAAATTAAGAATAAGAATAATAGATTGAAAATTGAATAATTTTATTATAATAAAATAAATTAATTCAATTAAAAATATAAGAATATATTGAAAACTCATTTCATTAATTATATAAAGAGAAACTAAGCCATTTTCCTGTAAATAAATTAAGAAGTATAGCTTCTTCTTCTTTCTTCCCTAATTAATATTTAAAAAAATAAAGTTTTTCTTTTTGGCAAAACGGACTAGCTACCTCTCCTCAAGGTTGCACATGAAAACTATACTTATGGATGCTGATCCTGTGGAAAATCACATATAAATGAGTGTTTGAGGGAGTCAGAAAGAAAGAGATAGTAATCCTTCAGTGTAATTTTATTCCACCACCAGCTGAAGTACAAATATTATTTCAGGAAATTAATACGTACAATAGCTTATTGGAAAATGTCATATTTTTCCATATAATGCTTTTTATTCCAATAATAATATGAGTAACTAATTTCTAGCCAAATATCCTTCTGATGGCTTCGAATATTTTCTCCTTTGATGACTTCAAACCCTGCAAAGAATTGTATCCATATATAAGTTAATCATCAACACTATATATATAGAGTGATCAATAGAAGAAATGATAAGTTGAGCTTAATTATAATTACGGGGTGTAATCGATGTTAATTTTTCCAGCGTTAATGTCAGCGATCTGAGAGAAGGCCTCTTGAGAGAGATCGATGGTTGCTCGACATGCTGGGGATGGGCATCGATCAACAATCTTGACAGTAACACTGCCACCTTTGCAAGGCTGTGGTACGCCTTGGTTTGTAGCTCCTGTGCAGGTCACCCTGTACATTCTCCCACATGCAGCACCATTGTCATAAAGTGCATCGCTTGCAGCTGCTATCATCACACCTTGATCTTGGAATCCATAGCATGCTGATGCTGTTGAATTAAAAAATAAACATACGTAAATAAACATGGAATTCTCAAAATTCAAAGAAACATATAATTATAATCTTATCTGAGTCTCATCAGAATACTCACGAACATAAACATTGTAGTAAGTGGCAGTTCCGGCAATGGCAGAAGCTACCGAGACTAGGCTGATGAGAAGCCCTGCAAGAAACAACGCACGGATTGCAATTGCCATGTCTGCTTTCTGTAATCAACTCTCAGAATTATATGTACTCGCACTAATTTGAACTATGGTTAGCTGTGAATCAAATTAATGAGGTTTCGTCCCTTTTTATAGAAGATCTCATGAACCGATTGCTGCTGCCACTGCTAACGGTCTTAACACGTTTCTTTAGTACCAAAAATAATGACTTTTACTTGGATGTAGATGTTTATATATGTGTACATTTTTCTAGATCAAAGAACAAAATTCCGCGTAATTAACTGACTTAACTTTTACTTGGAAGAAGATGTTGAGTGATTTCACCTGTACGTAGAATTTTCCAAGGGCATTACTAAATTTATCATCAAAACTTTTATTTTCATCATTTGTTTTTTTTTTTTAAATCACTAATTAATACACCGTCTTCGGTAATAATTGTTTCTATATTATAATTAAATATGTTTTATATTAAATATTTAAAGTATTCAAAAAATTAAATGTTTATGAAAGCAAAAATAAAAGAAACTGAAAAACAAAAATATTAGACATTTTAAACATTTTATATAAACATATTTAATTATGATATAGTAATAAACATCCATAAAAATGTATATTGATAACCACCTTAAGGGGATTGTCTTCGTTCAGCCAAGAGCAAAGTTTAATTCTCATTATCTAAGGATAATTAACTAGTTATAATTATTCGTTAGTAATACTAAGTTTAAGCTCATTTGGTCTAAAAAAATTTAGTAATCAATCAAAAAACTAAGTGTGTTTTAGTGATGGTTTATCCTAAAAAGTGGTAGATTTAATTTCGGTTGATATAAAATTTTTTTCGAAAATATCCCATTATCTATAAATATAAAAAAGAAGAAGATATATTGATAATTTTAATAAAATAAATGGTGAGAATAACAATATGATAGTGGATTTAGTCTTATCTATTTTTTAATTGTACCATGCTTGTAGCAAATATTTTTGTCCTCTAGATCATAAACAAATTATAGCTAAATCAATCTAACTTACAGGTGCAAATTTTTGGTTCCGTCCAGAAAAAAAAAAAACATGGACTCGAATAATAGAAAACGTTTCAATCCAGGTGCCTATAATATTCCACGAAACCTTTGAAATATTGCAATTCCTTGCGTGTTAAGTTCAATCCGTAGATTTTGGCGATAATTGGTAACATGTAGAACCTTTGAAGTTTTTTTTTCTTTTTTTTTCATTAAACTTTGAAGTTTCCAATTCATTACAAATTGTCTCATTGCAAAATGAGTAATGATATATAATATCTCTTAAGCTGTGAAGACCTATGTCGATAGTTTTTCTATTATAATATTAATTATTCATACTGTAAATATAAATAATATCATTTATATTTATAATTTTTACTTGATAAAATGTAATAAAAAATTATAATATAATTATAGAGTAAGTATAATTATCAAATCACGTAATTAAGTTTTTATATTATATAATTATTCTTATCTTTTTTTATATTATATGATTATTCTTGTCTTTTTATTTTATTTTATTTTTTAATTTTTGTCTCCTAACAATATCTACGATCAAACTTCTTTTTCGTAATGATTTTCTAAGTAATATTCGAGGATTGCTTTCTTGTAAAATCCACATGTTGACTTTAAGCATAAGAATAGAAAACGTTTCAATCAGGGTGCCTATGATATTCCACGAAACCTTTGAAATATTGCAATTCCTTGCGTGTTAAGTCCCAAACCGTAGATTTTGGCGTTAACTGATAACATGTAGAACCTTTGAAGTTTATTTTTTGATTCATGAAACTTTGAAGTTTCCAATTCATTTCAAATTGTCTCATTGCAAAATGAGTATTAATGATATATAAATATATAAATATAGATAATATCCTGATGTTTTTTTTAATTATAATATTAATTATTCATACCATAAATATATAAATATAGATAATATTATTTATATTTATAACTCCTATCTGATAAAATGTAATAAAAAATTCAATTATCAAATCACATAAGTTTTTATATTATATAATTATTCTCGTCTTTCTATGTTATATCATTGTTTTTATTTTTTTATTTCGTTTATTTTTTTTACTTTTCTGTCTCCTAAGAATATCCACGGTCAAACTTCTTTTTGGTATTGATTTTCTAAATAATATCCGAGGATTGCTTCCTTGTAAAATCCACATGTTGACTTTAAGCATAAGAAGTTTTTTTCCCCAAACATCTGAGTGTTAGTTTGAAACGTAAGTGTTCTATTATTTCTGTGGCATTCGTTAATTTGCACATGCAGTGTACGATTCTACATGTGCATTGTTAATTTGCAAATGTAGTGTGGAGGATGAATTTGCCAACATTACAAATGTAGTATTTAGCTTCTTCTTCTTTTTTCCTTTGGTACGTAGTTGTGGCAAATTCAAGACAACAGTGTTTTCTCTGTTGTTTGAGAATAAGATTTGTTATATTTGAGGTTTAGTTTGAGAGTTCTTCAAAATTTATACCGTTCAATCATCATAAAAAATTTTCTCTTCCTTCGTTAAGCATAGCCGAATTATGTAAATTTGTGTAATTAGTTTTTTCTATTTGCTATGATATTCTTTAAACATATATGTGTCATGTAAGTTTGTTGTTTGTGATTGATGTGCACAAATCACCATGTCTTCCTTGGTACCTAATATTGAGAAGTTTGAAGGACTAACCAGTTTAGCATGCATGTGGCGGGTTAATATGAAAGCAGTTCTTTTCGAAATGAATTTAAAAAAGTCCTCGATGGTAAAGCAAAGAAGTGAATTACAATGACTGAAAAATGTGGATGGAGTTTTCCTAAGAGTATGGCTAAAAAGACCACATGTGCTTCATTTCGAGTGATTTAGTTATGTAAAAACACTTGTTAATTACAATAACTTCAGATTCTATCCTTTAATTTATTTTTCGAAAACAACAACAACAATAATAATAATAATGGGAGTTCAATTAACTGCACTGTCACATGGCTCCTTCTGATTCCTACAAAATCCTACTATCTTATATGTGTACATGTTTTAATAAGAGTAATACATATAAGGTGTATATCTATGATCTGGTGGGTAGCATATTTTAGTATGATATCGGCCAGTTGTAACAAAATTATTTCAAAATTTTATATTTAATTAATTTTTTCCTATATTTTTTATAAATTTTCTAATTAAAAAAACATGATTCATTCTTTTTTTATGTATTGATTTTTAAATAAAAACTTATAATAATTTAAACTTAAATATTAATCTAGAATTAAAAAAACCTTTAAAAATATTTTTTTTTCATAAATCATATCTAAAAAATTAAAGCTACAATTAATGTATAGACTTAGACTTGTAGAGGTGAACACTATTAGGTTAAAACCTAAAAATCGAACCAAACCGAACTAAATTAGCAATTTCGATTCGGTTCATTTTTTTTTTAATTTGATTTTCATTGAAAACTGAATTAGTGTTTTTGTTTACACACCCATCCAAGTCTCACAACATTTTCCTATGATTGTTTTTGCTAAAACTTTAATTAAAATTATTAGTATTTATTGAAAATCGAAAAAAAATGCAAAAAAGTGACATTTCAGCTTAGTTTAAAAGAAAATTCAAAATTCAAAAGAAAAGATGTAAAAAATTAGTTTTTAACCAAAAACCAAATCAAAAAATTTGGTTTTTTAATCGAAAAACCAAACCTCAATTTAGTTCGGTTTTGGTTTATGTTTTAGTCAATTCGGTTAATCAAAAACTAAAAAAAAAAAAAAAAACTAAAACCAAATCGAAAAACTCGAAAGATCACTCTCGTAGACTTCTATAAAAATTAACAAATAAAAAAAATTATTATTATCTAATACCGATGAGAAAACTATTTTTTGAAAGTGTATGAATTTGACTTATATATATTTATTTATAAAATAATCAATAATATTATTATAACTAATTGTATTTGAATCATTTGATGATTCTTTTTAAAAAATTATTTCAATCACTTTATTAAAAAAAATAGGTTTATAATATCAAAAAATAATTGCAAATAGTTAATGTTATGTGTGTAGATGTATAGTTAAATTTCAATAAAATCAAGAATTTAATATTTTTTTTATATATCAAGATTATACTTAATGAGTTGAGAGTGTATGGTATAACGCTACAAACATATCAAAAAATCTTAGACAGATTATCTCAAATATATAATGTATATTTCATCCTCGTTAGACTATATATATCCGTGTGTGTATGTGTTCAATCTTTCAAAACAAAAATTTTTTTTAATTAAAACTAGCTAGAAAGTAGGCTTGCACGCACTTGTGATTGGTTATAGGCCCGAATAAGGCGGACCAAAAAAAAATTATGATTTTTGGCGAGCTATTGCTCTTTGAAAAAAAAAGTTTTTAATTTTCAACCTCTTCAAATCCAAATTTAGTCTCATTTTTTTTTCAAAATACCTTAAAATCATAAAAATAACATCAACAAACTCGTTTAAAATCTCAAAACTCATTTTAATACACATAAAAATAAAAAATTTTAAAATATTTTTAATTTTTGATCTATCTCCTCCGAATTGTGACTACAACAAGCATATTATACTCTCCGAGACGAACAAAATGGTGATGAATTTCTTCGGTCAAGAAGGCCGAAATAGGCTTTGACATCCTTCTTTATTTGCACTATTATCTATCTTTTTATTTCTCTCTCCTCCAAGCTATCAAGGATCAAAATATAACACAAATGAAGTTCGAAATCGAAACAAAAATTTATAAAAAAATAAGGGATCAAAATGCAAATTTTTTAACAAATTTGCTTCTAAATAGTAACATGCACTGTGTGATTGAGTACGGATGAACAATGCAAATGAATTTGAGTAAACAATAAAAAACTAGTAATTTGCATAGTGTTTTCTAAAAATTAATTTTTTTCATGATAATGTGTGCAACGCAATGATAGCAACTAAGACTCATTTTTAAAAAAAAATCGTGCTAAAAAAGACCATTTCTTAGAAACTTAGGAATTAACATTGTTTCTTAAAAAACTATCTACCAAAGACAAAAAGGCTTAGAAAGACCAACTTCGTCCACCAAGATAGCACCCATTTCTTCAAGTTATTTGAACTCCACTTCAGACTCTCCAAGATCAATGTCTTCCTTGATGCCCCACTCACTCTAAAAACCCAACAAAAAAAAAAAAAAAAGGTTTGTGTACTGGTAATAAAGTCTTAATTTATTGACAAAAAAAGAAAGAAATAAGATCAGCCTATCTAACCGCTTAATTAAGAGGCTAATTCGTTATCTCCCGCCTATATTCTTCACCTGCTCCTAAATGTCTCCGTCAGCACGAAACTATAAAATGATGATGTTGTAGCCACTCTAAGGTGTTGTCTAAGAGAATAAATATCCCCAAGCCTCTTAAACTCCACATAGAGGCATTGGCCCTCTACACTATACTTTGAACCATTTCTTTCTCCAATCTTCTACGAGGTCAATTTTTTCCCTTTGAACATCTTCTTTAGTAGGCTTAACTTCTTTATTGAAAAAGTATAGAGCCACAACATTCCTCGTTTTCCTCTAGAACTTTCGACTAGAAAGTAACAATACCTGAAAAGCCTAAGTGTAGGACTGACTTTAAACTGCCTATAAAAATTCTCAAAGGTAGCTATAATGGTCCATCCATTCAAGTGAAGCTAACTCATCCATAAGTAATAGTGCCAAAGGACCTCTGGCCAAAAAAAAAAAAAAAAAAAAAAACAAACAAACAAAGGAATATTATAGTTATAAGTAAACATGCCACAGAAACAACTAATATGGAATGGATTTCAAAGGCCTGAGTAGATTAACCCAATAATTCTCTAGAGCGTTGTAATTCTGCTGCCTGCAGGCGACGTAGAAAATTACCGAAGGCGTGACAAGCTGTTCATAACCTTGTATGGTTGTCAAACTCAGCCCCTCGAGACTTGAACCAGTTAAGGATTAGGATTATTGGATCAACCCACACGTTGTTATTTTTTTCTTCTTACCGAAAGAGTAACTTAACAAAAAAGTCTAATTGATTTGCCGGCCTAGATAGGCTGGAATGGATAAGCATGATAACAAGAGATACGTGAGAAATTATCATGCTAACAAGGTCTTTCAAGGGCAGAATGGAAAGAATGAGGTTATGATTCGTAAAGTGGATGTATACAAAAGAGGATCGCATGGAAAAAGAACAACAGCCACCAACTACATCATCAAATTAAGGTATGGACTACTTAGCGTTTTATCATCCTTGAAATTATTAAATTAAACATGTCAAATTGTAATTACTTGATTAATTAATTAATTTCGATGCAATTTTATGATTTTGATTTTTTATTATACATATATATATATATACTATGGCTATTTTTTTAATGGAGATTTAATGGTCAAAATGAAATACTAATAAATTACCATATAAGGTAATTAGAAAGTCTAAGTTATGTTATTTAGAGTTTTATAATCATAGCCGTATATAAAAACGGACACCAGCTTTTTTAAAACATTTGATTTACCCTTGAATTTTCTTTAATGATCCTAAAACAGTACAACAATACCACTTTTTTTTTTTTTTTTAAGAGACCGTTTATGAGTTTTGTCTCTTTGTCTCTTAAGTCAACTTGGGATTAATAAGAAATGAATTAATATGGCCACAACATTAACCTTTCAAGTCAACTTGGGATTAATAAAGAAACCTTAACATAAGTACTTACTTCTTTCAATGCAGGGGAGAGTCTGAATGATCCTTTTTTTTTTTAATTATTATTTTTCTTTTTCAAATTTTCATGCGTTACTAACATAATATAAAATTCAGGACAATTTTGAAATTAAATTATATGTATGTCTAATTGATTCAGTTAAAATTAAAAATAAGAATAATAGATTGAAAATTCAATAATTTTATTATAATAAAATAAATTAACTCTATTAAATATATAAGAATAGATTGAAAACTTATTTCATTAAGTATATAAAGAGAAACTAAGTCATTTTCTCTTAAATAAATTAAGAAGTATAGCTTCTTCTTCTTTCTTCCCTAATTAATAGTTTAAAAAATAAAGTTTTTCTTTTTGGCAAAACGGACTAGCTAGCTCTCCTCAAGGTTGCATATGAAAACTATACTTATGGATGCTGATCCGGTAGAAAATCACATATAAATGAGTGTTTGGGAGAGTCAGAAAGAAAGAGAGAGTAGTCCTTCACTGTAATTTTATTCCATCACCAGTTGAAGTACAAATATTATTTCAGGAAATTAATACGAATCATAATATATTGGAAAATGTCATATTTTTCCATAAAATGGTTTTTATTCCAATAATAATATCAGTAACTAATTTCTAGCCAAATATCCTCCAGATGGCTTCAAATATTTTCTCCTTTGATGACTTCAAACCCTGCAAAGAGTTGTATCCATATGTAAGTTAATCATCAACACTATATATATAGAGTGATCAATAGAAGAAATGATAAGTTGGGCTTAATTATAATTACTGGGTGTAATCGATGTTAATTTTTTATGAAGACAGTCGATTAAGATTAAAGAAAGGGAAGACGAGTTAGCTGAACGGCGAGAGGTTGAAGAAAGGGAAGAAAGCTAGTTGAAGGGTCAACCAACAAATGGGCTCACTTATGCTTTAAACGAGAGAACCCAAGAAGAGTACTTTGGGCTCCCTAATTAAACGAGCATAAGCCCACTTACCATTTTTTTTCTTTGTTCTTCATCCGCTTCACCGTTTTTTTTAATTTTCTTTTCCCTTTCATTTCTTTATTGTTGAGTCGGTTACAAAACAATCTTCCACGACTTTCTAGAAGCATATTGTTGGCCTCTATCACCATTCTAAGATTCTTAAAATATGGTTATAACAAACTCTACCGACCTTGTATGGTGATGCCTATATATGCTTTCCTTTTTCATTCAAAAAAATTAAGCAAGAATGATTATTATCTAAATTCCATCATAGTATCGGAGCTCAGCTCCGTATTTATTCTCTCGTTATTTCTTTATGGCTTCTTTTCGGTGTTTCTATCATCTTTAGAATGTGTTGATTTTCTTCTTAGCCTCCATCATGCCGAGAACCTCTTACGCCGGCATTGCTGCAAATCAAGGGCGACGAAAGTCGACCTAATAACCAAAACACTATCGGACTTGACGATCACCCCGCTAGTCCATACTACCTACACCCCGGTGAAAACCCATCCCTAATACTTGTTTCATCTCTATTGACCGATACAAATTATCATTCATAAGCAAGATCCATGCGTATGGCATTATTATCTAAAAACAAGTTGCGATTCATTTATGGTTCTATCATTATGCCACCTAAAAATGACCCTCTCGTATATCTATTGGGAGAGATACAATACCATGGTGCTTGTCTTGGTTGATGCGATCCGTTACGAGTCCATAGCACAAAGTGTGATATGGTTTGACTCTCGTTGTTGAAGTGTGGAAAGATTTGAAGGACGGGTTCTTACAAGTCGATTCTTTCTAAATTTCGGATCTCCAAGAGGAGATTTTCAGCTTTCGTCAAGGTAATCTCTCGGTTTTAGACTACTATACTCACCTCAAAATTTTGTGGGATGAATTCTTCAATCTTAGACTAATGCCCAAATGTCAATGTGAACCACAATGCGCATGCGATGCCTTGAAAATTGTCAAATCCTATCAAGATGGTGACTCGTGTCATTAGATTTCTAAGAGGTTTAAATGAGTCCTATTCTATCGTGAAATCCCACATCATGCTCATAGACCACTTTGCTCGATCTTAAGAGGGTTTTCGCAATGGTTGCTCAACATGAGAGACAACTAAACAATTCCATTCGGACTTCACTCAACTTAAAAACCATTGAACCATAATTTTTTTACACCAAAGCGAGATCGAGACGAAGTTTTCCACAAACAAAAAACTCATCCGTATGTACTCGCAATAACAATGGTCACATTAAAGATAAATGTTATCGCAAACATGGTTTTCCTCCTAATTTTTCCCTAAATATCCGTACCAATTACACTCCAAGAGACAATTACCCACCAAGAGAAAGTTATAAACCTAAGTTTTGATTAGCAAACTATGTAGAAACGCACTTGGACAGTAGTTCTACTCGTACCGACATTGCCACTTCCGTCAAAGAAGGTCTTCATGATAGCTCCGGCTCCCAACTCATTGTTGACCGACTTGCACAAGTGCTGCAACTCCCGCAAAGAGAAGGAGATCGAAAGGAAAATCAGCCACTATCCCACATATTAATACTATTTCCCCGCTCCAAAAGGTATATCCTCACTCGTTATGTCTTCTACTTTATGGTCATCCACATGGCTTCTTAATTCTAGAGCAACGAGATGACATCATTTGTTCTCTGAGAGCACTTCACCACCTATACCACGTTGAAAGGTTTAGATATTCAACTTCCTAATGGTCAGCTTGTAGTCGTCACACACATATGAACAATCCAAACTTTCCTTTCTAACTCTTACTAATGTCTTCTTTGTTCCTATTTTTACTTTCAATTTGATTTCTATTAGCAAACTCATAAATTTATGTCATTTTCAACTAATCTTCACTCATGACTCATGTCGATTCAAGATACAAAATCTTTGAAGATGATTAGTTTTGCTAAACAAGTGAATGGCCTATACTACCTCTCTCCACCAACCGAAGATTTCAACACTCCTCTTTGCAATGTTACTACTCAACCAGTTAACCTATGGCAAAAAAAATTAGGACACCTCTCTAATCAAAGATTATAAGCCTTGTCTAGAATAGATCCTTCGTTGTTTTTCATTGTACTAAACAATGTGATATTTATCATTTTACTAAACAAAGAAAATTACCTTTTTATGTCAGTACCTCTATTGCTACTTCTTGTTTTGATTTCATACACATAGACATTTGGGGTCTTTATCATACCCTATCCATTCTTAGTTACAAATTCTTTCTAACTATTGTGGATGATCATAGTAGGATGACATGGGTATGTATGATGAAACACAAGTCCGAAACTAGAGAACTCATCCAAGGCTTTTGTGCATATGTGGAAAGACAATTTGATAAGCAAATTAAATGCATCGAAGTGATAATGGTGCATAATTTTCAATGATTGATTTTTTCAACGAAAGGGCATTTTACATAAAACCACCCGTGTCGAGATACCTCAACAAAATAGCCGAGTGGAAAGAAAACATCAACACATTCTAAACGTAACCGAGCTGCGAAAATGTAAGCTAACTTACCTACTAAATTCTAGGCGGATCGCGTCCTTCATGCAGTCTACCTAATCAACCGCATACCCTCTCTCATATTATCTCACAAATCTCTTTATTCTATTTTATTTGGTTGTAACCCCGATCTAACCTCTTTGAAAGTATTTGGTTGCCTTTGTTTTGCATCCACCAAAGGAGCAAACAGAGGCAAGTTTGATACTCGAGCAAGGAAATGTGTGTTTCTTGGTTTTTCTTCGAGTACGAAAGGGTTCAAGCTATTTGATCTTGCTGCCAAGCAATTCCTTCGTCACGAAACGTGATCTTTTATGAAGACCATTTCCCTTTCCTTGCCTCACCCTATGACTCCCTCATACCTACTCCCATCTTACCTCTTTCTCCAAATGAACCATGTTATGACCTTTCATCACCGCCTTCCCCACTCTCATCATCTCTCCTTCTAGATGCACCTTCCCCACCATCCATCCACCCCGTTTCTTTTTCCCTACCTTCTCCCTCCATTTCCCTAACACCATCACCACCTCAAATTCGTCACTACCTCGAGCGGTCTAGACCTCCCACATACCTCTAACACTATGATTGTTCCGCTCTTACTTGTACCTCACCCCATACATTCTCTTCTTTCATTTCTTACCATCACCTCTCCTCAAAACATCGAGCCTTCTCGGCAGCTCTCACCTCCCTCAAAGAACCTACAACATACAAACATGCTATACAACATCGAGCTTAGCGAGATGCTATGCAAGTTGAATTACAAGCATTGCTCGATAATGAGACATGGGAACTTAACCTTTTTACCACCGGGAAAAGTTATCGTTGATTGTAAGTGGGTTCATCGACTTAAGTTCAATGTCGATGACGAGCTTACGAGTTGCAAGAGTAGAGTCGTTGCCAAGGGTTTTACACAACAACATGGCCCGGACTACACCGAAACCTTATCTCCCGTTGTCAAGCCCATCACTATATGGGTATTGCTAGCTCTTACTCGCCTCTCAAGGCTGGTTTCTCGACCAATTAAACATCAACAATGCCTTCTTACACGGGGATTTAGACGAAGAAGTCTATACGAAGCCAACCCCGGCCTTTCTTTTCCACATTCCGACATGGTTTTTCGATTAAAAAAAGCTTATATGGTCTCAAACAAGCCAACGAGACGGTAACACCACAAACTCACCTCTACTCTACTTATTTCGGTTTCTCTCAATCCCATTCGGATTATTCCATGTTCACCGGATGTCGAACACCAACTTCATCATCTTACTTATCTATGTAGATGATGTTTTACCGGCAAACAACAGTTTGACCCCGATTCAAGATACCAAGCATTATCCGGATTGCACCTTTAAAATCAAAGACCTTGGCGAAGTAAAATATTTTTTAAGCCTTGAGCTTGCTAAATCCTCCTCCGGCATAAACCTCTCCCAACGTAAATACACTATTGATTTGCTTCGGGACAATGGTTTCCTTGACTCCAAACCCATCTCCACTCCCATGCCATCAAATGCCGGATTATCTTCCGAAGGTGAGCCTTTTCGGATGTCATTTTTTACGGATGCCTCATTGGAAAATTACTCTATCTCACCACTACAAAACCCAACATCGGCTTCGTTGTCCAAGCAACTATCTCAATTCTTAGACACACTAACTACCCTTCACATGTAAGCGAGCTTATCGTCTTCTTTACTATCTCAAAGGGTCACCCGGTTAGGGCATTCTCTTCCCTCGTGACTCTCATCTCCGACTCCATGCCTTTTCCGACTCGATTGGGGCACATGACCCGATACTCGCAAATCCATCATCGGCTACTCGTGTTTTCCTCGGCTCATCTCTTATTTCTTAGAAATCTAAGAAGCAACCAACAATCTCCGAAGCTCATCCGAGGTTGAGTATCGTGCCCTCACTATGACCACTTGTGAATTGCAATGGTTACTCTATCTTCTTCGGGATTTTAGTATCACACACAATCAAACTACCTACCTCTACCGTGACAACAAGTCTACAATTCACATTGCGAGAAAACCTTATTTTTCACGAACGCACAAAACACATCGAGATCGACTATCATCTCGTTCGTGAAAAGGTCTAATCCGGCATTGTCCATCTCCTTCCCGTAACCTCCCAACTATAACTTGCGGATCTATTTCACAAAGGCTCTCCCTTCGCCTTCCTTTGCATCCATGTTGCTCAAGCCGGGTGTTCACTCGTTTACCGTCCAGCTTATGGGGGTGTGATTAAGACGATCGATCGAGATTAAAGAAAGAGAAGAAAGTTAGCTGAACGGCGAGAGGTTGAAGAAAGGGAAGAAAGCTAGTTGAAGAGCTAACTAACAAATGGGCTCACTTATGCCTTAAACGAGAAGACCCAGAAGAGTACTTTGGGCTCCCTAATTAAACGAGCATAAGCCCAATTACCATTTTCTTTCTTTATTCTTTAGTCTCTCGCTTCACCGTTTTTTTTATTTGCTTTTCCCTTTCATTTCTTTATTGTTGAGTCGGTTACAAAACCATCTTCAATAACTTTCTAGAAGCATATTGCTGGCCTCCGTCACCATTCTAAGATTCTTAGAATATGGTTGTAACAAACTCTACCGACCTTGTACGGTGACGCCTATATATGCTTTCCTTTTTCATTCAATAAAAATCAAGCAAGAATGATTGTTATCTAAATTCCATCATTTTTTCCGGCGTTAATGTCGGCAATCCGAGAGAAGGCCTCTTGAGAGAGATCGATGGTTGCTCGACATGCGAGGGATGGGCATCGATCAACAATCTTGACGAGTAACCCTACCACCTTTGCAAGGTCGTAGTACACCTTGGTTTAAACATTTTATATAAACATATTTAATATGATATAGTAACAAACATTGATAGAAAAATATATTGATAACCACCTTAAGGGATGTGATTTAAGGATAAGGGGATTGTCTTGATTTAGCCAAGAGCAAAATTTAATTTTTACTATCTACTGGATAATTAACTAATCATAATTATTAGTTAGTGATATCGGACTTAAACTCATTTGATCTAAGGAGTCTAGTAGTCGACTAAAAACTAAACATGTTCTAACATTTGTTTATCTTAGGAAGTGATAGATTTAGTTTCAGATTGATGCGAAAGTTTATTCGAAGATATCTCACTATATATGTAGTGAGATAATTTTAATAAAATAAATGGTGAGAATAACAAATTTGATAGTGGATTTAGCCTTATCTATTTTTTAATTGTACCATGCTTGTAGCAAATATTTTTGACTTCTAGATCATAAACAAATTATAGCTAAATCAATCTAATGTACAGTTGCAAATTTTTTGTTCCGTCCAGAAAAAAAAAAAAAAAAAAAGGACTCAAAAATAGAAAACGTTTCAATCCGGGTGCCTATAAAATTCCACGAAACCTTTGAAATATGGCAATTCCTTGCGTGTTAAGTCCCAATCCGTAGATTTTGGCGTTAATTGGTAACATGTAGAACCTTTGAAGTTTATGTTTTGATTCATGAAACTTTGAAGTTTCCAATTCATTACAATTTGTCTCGTTGCAAAATGAGCAATGATATATAATATCTCTTAAGTTGTGATAATCTATATTGATGTTTTTTTTTATTATAATAGTAATTATTCACACTATAAATATAAATAATATCATTTGTATTTATGACTTCTATTGGATAAAATGTAATAAAAAATTATAATATAATTGTGGAGTAAGTATAATTATCAAACCAAATAAGTTTTTATATTATATAATTATTCTTTTTTTTATATTATATGATTGTTCTTGTTTATATATATATATATATATATATATATATATATATATATATATATATATATATATATATATATATTGTTTTTTAACTTTTCGTCTCCTAACAATATCCACGGTCAAACTTCTTTTTCTTATTGATTTTCTAAATAATATCAGAGCTGAGGATTGCTTCCTAGTAAAATCCACATGTTGACTTTAAGCATAAGTTTTTCCCCAAACATCTAAATGTTAGTTTGAAACGTAAGTGTTCTACTATTTAGATTAATTTGGTGTATTTATGAGAATAAATTTTGTTAAGTATTAATATTCAAATTTAAATTTAAAAAATAAAAGATGAGGAAAAAAATCTCATTAACCATATTAATACTGACATCTTAGGATTAACCATCAATAGTTGATATTATTAGACTTTAAAATGAATGGTGTTAGTATTAATTGTCGCAAATTAAATATAGGTATGACCAAAGACAAAACGTCAGTTGATCAAACCATGGATAATCTCTCTCTTTATTTATTTATTTATTTATTTTGTGGCACTAAAAAATTTTGTCCCAGAATCGGTTCTTTAAAAATAATTATTCAAAACTCATGGCGTACACAATATTAAGTTTACCGATTTTCCGTAAAATTCCCTTCGCTGCTTGACTTGTCACCGCCGATATGATAATTAATGAAGAGAAAGAAAAGTCAATAGCCATCACGATAAAGATCGGTGATTGAATTAATTAAGGGAGATGTTGGCACTTAGTACATGCATGTTACAATCTTAACACCACGAAATTTCTGTGGCATTCGCTAATTTGCACGTGCAGTGTATGATTTTAAATGCGCATCGTTAATTTGCACACGTAGTGTGTACGATGACTTCGCCGACATAACAATTAATCTATTAGCACTATGATTTGTTTTTAAACACACGTAGAAGTAGTATGTAGCTTTTTTTTAAAAAAAAAATCTTTGGCGCCTAGCTGTGGCAAATTCAAGACAAGAGTGTTTTCTCTGTTGTTTGCGAATGAGATTTGTTACATTTGAGGTCAGGTTTGAGAGTTCTTCAAAATTTATACCGGTTCAATCATAGTAAAAAAAATTTCTCTTCCTTCGTGAAGCATTGCCGAATTATGTAAATTTGTGTAATTATTTTTTTTCTATTTGCTATGATATTCTTTAAACATATATGTTTCATATTTAATAAATTGATAGCAGCACTTATAAGACCATCTCCAATACTCTCTTTATTATAAGATTTTTCTTTATAATAAAAAGGTCTGTCACAAATTTCATCTTCAATGTTCTTTTTATCATAATTTCTATTTTTAAAAGTGAGATACGTAATGTCTTTGGCTCTCTAATATTACGAGTCCAAATGACTTTTATCTTATATTTCATTAATGAAAATTACTATTTATTATATCACTCAGTCTCTTCACCAATAACCTCTCTCGAAGATTAAAAAAAAAAAAAATTTCAGAATTAAATGTTTTATGAATTTTGTCAAAATAAAGAGTTAAGGTAGAGAGTAACATTAGAAAAAATATTAATCTTCAATCTATATAATTAATAATGCTCTCTATTTATATTAAAAATATTAACTAAAAATAGAGAGCATCATTGAAGATGTTGAGTTTATTGATTGTGATTGATCTGCACAAGCCACCATGCCTTCTCTAATACCTAATTAATATTGAGAAGTTTGAAGGACTAACCAGTTTTAGCATGTGGCGGGTTAATATAAAAGCAGTTCTTTTTGAACTGAATTATTATTATTTTTTTTTTAAAAAAAAGAAGAAGTTCTCGATGGTATAGCGAAGAAGTGAATTACAATGACGGAAGAAAGATGGAAAAATGTGGATGGAGTTTTGGTAAAAGTAATGGCTGAAAGGACCACATGTGCTTCATTACGAGTGATTTAGTTATGTAAAAACACTTGTTAATTACAATAACTTCAGATTCTATCCATTAATTTATTTTTTGAAAACACTAATAATAATAATGGGAGTTCAATGGACTCCACTTCACATGGCTCCTCTGATTGTGTACAATTATTTCAAAATTTTGTATTTAATTAATTTTTTTATATTTTTCAAAAATTTTCTAATTAAAAAATCATGATTCATTCTTCTTCATATCTTAATTTTTAAATAAAAACTTATAATAATTTAAAATAAAATATTAATCTAGAATTAAAAAAATACTTTAAAAATATATTTTTTTCGTAAATTGTATCTAAAAAAATAAAGCTATAATTAATATATAGACTTGTACAAAAATTAACAAATGAATAAAATAAATTTTTATTATTATCTAATGCTAATGAGAAAATTATTTTTTGAAAGCATATGTATTTGATTTATATATATTTATTTATAAAATTATCAATAATGTTAGTAAAACAAACCGTATTTGAATCATTTGATGATTCTTTTTTAAAAAATTATTTCAATCAATTTATTTTAAAAAATAGTTTTATAATATTAAAAAAATAATAACAAATGGTTAATTTTATGTGTAAATGCATAATTAATTTTTAAAAAAATTGAGAATTTAATATATTTTTTTATAAATTATGATTATATTTAATGAGTTGAGAGTGTGTAGTATAAAGCTACAAACATAAAATTTTAAATTTTTTTTAAAAAAATCTTAGACAAATTATTTCAAATATATAGTATATTTCATCATCGTTAGACTAAATGAGAAAAAGAAAAGTTCAATCTTCCATAATGTTTTTCCTAACAATCCATAACCAAAAAAAAAAAAAAAAAAAATCAATTATTAAAACTAGCTAGAGAGCGAGGCTTACACATGCTTGGGGTTGGTTATAGGCCTCCACGCAGTGCTAGGGCTTGGTTCTAGGCCCGCTCAAGCTAGCCACAAAAAAAAAAAAAAAAGAAATATGTTTGTAATTTTTGGTGAGTTATAGTTCATTGAAAAAACAGGTTGTTAATTTTCAACTACTTCAAACCCAAATTCGAGTCTTATTTTTTGTCCAAAAATACCTCAAAATCACAAAAATAACATCAACAAATTCATTTAAAACCTCAAAACTTATTTTAATACGCATAAAAATGTTAGTGTAGATATACAAGATCTAACATGTTTGGATGGTTTGATAAATTGTATTATTACATGATTTGTTAGGTTCATTAGGAATCTAATGGAGATTGGTGGATGACCGAGATAGGACATGCCATAAGTTATCACATTGCACTTCAATGAATGTCAAACTCCGGAATCTCTAGCCACGGTGGAAGTATACCAATAAAGCATAATTGGTTTACTTGAGAGCTAAGACATTTAGAGATAAAAAAAACTAGTGTGATCATAATCGAATAGAATATAAACCAAGTTTGAGATCACACTCGTGATAAATTGATATGAGAACTAAATTGTATGAAAACCATGCTCATGAAAGTTAATTACAAATTAATTAATCATTCTAGAGAATTGGGTAGTTATGATACCTTGATAGAGATTAATCTTGATTTATGTATCAATAGCTAAAATAGGTGTTATTTATCTTCTTGATATATTGTCGATATATCTAGGAGCCTATTGAGTCATATGCATAAGTTTAAACATTTACATGAAAAAAAAAAGAATAAAAGGTTTTGGAAAAAAGTTTTCTGTTTTGGAAAAATTTTTAAATTTGA